GCGGGGGGAAGGGGGGGGGGGGGGGGGCAGAAGGAGGTCGAGAAGGAGAGAAACAAAAGCTCCATACTATGAGACAGGCAGAGAGGCTCTAGATGGGCAATTCACAGTTCAGGGAATCTGGGGATCTGCAATGGGGAAGGGGGAGACCCAGAGCCACAGGGCATGGGGTTCAGTACCCTGCTTTTCTGCCAGGGAACTTGAGGCTCCAGGTCTGAATACATCTGGCAGGACTCACGGTGGAGAGCAGTGGGGAAGTGTGGAATGCAGGGTCCAGGGTGCAGCTTATGGGATGTTCACTGCCCTGGAGGAGCCTTGGTAGTAGAGTGGGCTTGAGGTAGGAGGGAAGGGACATCCTGGTGCCCCTGGCCGGCTGAAGCCCTGAGAGCTTCCAGCATCCCTGGGCTTTGCAGAGCCTGGCGGGGAGGTGCAGGGCAGACGATAGCCACCAGGTGGCGGGGTAGCCTCTCTCTCTCTCTCTCTCTCTCTCTCTCTCTCTCTCTCACTCAGCTGGGCCGTGCAACCTTGAACAACTTTCTCAGACTCTCTGTGCCTGTTTTCCCTGTGGAGATTCCGGAGGGTGGTGAGTTTTCCCAGACTATCTCCAAGGGAAACAGGATTCTGGGGAGATTGGGCTTGTCTGGACAGGAGAGGAGCCTACCTCCCAGTGTGTGATCAGAGTCCATTCAGCTTCTGGAGCCACCTGAGCATGCGCACCTGCAGCTTCTGCTAGGGTGACCAACTGGTGGATGGTTGCTCTCCCAGGCAGTTGCTTAGGAGGAATCTGGGGGCAGGGCAGCCCAGGACACACGTCCCGTAACTGTTTGAGTCAGGATGAAAGAGCAGGGGGCTCTTCAGGAAGGCTCGGGCTGCCTTCCGTCCCACAAGGGATGCTGAGGCAAGGAACCTCGGCAAGCCCCAGTGGTCCAGGAGGGCCTGCAGTGGTCTAGACCTTCCATCACTGTGACCAGAGAATGCTGTGGGAGGTTCTTTGTCTGAAGGGCCTGGGTTCCTCTGAGTCAAGGAAATGTTCCAGGTCACTCACCACCCACTGGGGCGGAGGTGACCACTGAAGCAAAGCTCCACCTTGTGCTGTTTCCCAAGGCTCAGGGCAGGCATGGAGGGGGCTGTGTTCAAAGGTGGCTGTGACCCACAGGGGGCACTGCCATTACCTGCCTCCCAGGGCCAGCATAGGGAGGCCAGGGCTGAAGGGCTTGACACCCTCCTCCAGGACAGCAGTGCCCCTAGACCTCACCCCCGGCCTACAGGGAGCTCTGCTCTGGGCTCAGGGGAGGAGAGCTTGGTGTAGCTTCCCAGCTTCCTGCTGCTGTTATTGGGGTGGCTCAAGGCCTGAGTTGTGGGAAGGTGAGGCTCAGGGCCAAGTGGGCCTGTACAGCTGTGTGAAGTGAGAGAGGTAGGAAGTGAGTGCCATGTCCCTCAGAAGCCCTCAGCATAACCTGGCCCTTCTCCGTGCTAGAGGAGGGTCAGGGTGAGAACACAGATACCAGGCAGCCAGGAAGACTGTGAGTGAGTGTGCCTGGCAGACAGGTGACATTCCCTTCTCCCACCCTAGCCCTGCCTTGGGACCTGGCCACTAGGCACACATCACCAGGTAGGTCAGAGACCATGGCTTTTTATTAGAGTAACTTCTGTGGCTGAACACAGAATTTATGGCTTAGCAGAGCCCACATTTCCTTAGGTGCCTATGGCCTGCCCCATCTCCCAACTGACCAGCCCTCAGCCTTTCCCAAGCTCTCCTCGCCCACACTGCAGAGGTTGGCTTGGTGTCTCCTTAGCCTGTGCTGTGGAAGTCTGGATTGTCCACATCATGCATAGTCTGAAGAAAGATGTGGCCCTTGCCTGGCTCCTGAGGATGAATTCTGAGCCCCTGGAATGTTCGAGACCTTACTGAATCTGTTGTAGGCCCTTGGGTTGGCAGGTGGACAGCAGCTTTCTTTGGACATCTCCAAAGACCTGGTTATCAAGCCTTTCTCTGCTGGTGTCCAGTTCACCAGGCCCACAGAGCCAAGAAGCAGGACCTAAGGTGAGAAGATAGGGTTTGTTAGGAAAATAGAGGGGTCAGGGTGGCTGGATGGATGGTGAAGTAGATGGAGGGATATAGGAAGAGATGCATGGATAGAAGGATAGATAGACAGAGGGACAGATAGAAGGGTGGGTAGTGCCTTACTCTGTGTTTCTGTGACAAAATACCTAAACTGTGTAACTTTTAAAAAACAGAAATGTGTTTCCCTGAGTTCTAGAAGCTAGAAAGTTCAGGATCAAAGTGCTAGCATTTGGTGCAGGCTCTCTTGCTGTGTTCCTGGTGGAACACAGAAGGACAGAAAAGGCATGGCTGGAGGGGGCTGAACTCATCCCTTTATCAGGAATCCCTTTTTTTCCATAACAGCATTAAAAGATCCATGAAAGATGAGTCCTCATGGTCTAATCATCTTCCATGATGCCCCATCTCCCAGCGCTATTGCATTAGGGCCTAAGTCTCCAGCCCATGCTTTTGGGGAGGATCATTCAAATCATAGCAGGTGGGTAGATGGAGGGATAGATAAAGGGATTAATGGATGGAAGGGTGGGTGGATGGATAGGAAAATGAGAGGATGGGGGATGGATTGATGGATAATGGGTGGATCTGTGGATGGAAAGATAGAAGAGTGAATGGGTGGGTGGGTGGATGGATGGATGAATGGGTGGAAGGGCGGATGGATGAATGGATGGGTGAAGGGGTAGATGGGTGTGTGAATGAATGGTGGGGTGGGTGTGTGGATGGATGGGTGGATGGTTGAGTAGATGGGTGGTAGGTGGATAGAGGAATGAACAGGAAGATACAGGGATGAGGAGATAGAAAGATGGATGGATGAATGGATGGCTAGATGGAGAGCTGTGTGGAGGACAAACACAGTAAATTGATAACTGTGGTACATGAGTCATAAAAGTATCAGGCCACACTGTGTGATTCTTTTAACATTGCTGCATGTTGCAAAAATGAGAATGTTCAAGAAATTTTTATAGCCACACACTGTAACACACGAGCACACACTGCCGATGAACTGATGAGGTAAAGAAGAAGTTGTAAAAGACAATCTAAATACTCCAAAGTGAACAACACTGAGAATGCTACACATCCAGACTTGAGAGGCACAGCCAAGTATAATGTGCAGGGAGATGCTGCAAATACCTGTGCTAAGAGGAAGCAGCCCTCAGGATTTTCAAGCTACCTCCCATCTCAGGAAGCTATGGCCCGGGTGTGCAATGAGCAGCTACAAAGGGACATAGGAAAACCTTTCTGGGGTGGTGGGAATATTTTATGTCTTGGTTACACTGGTAGTCACAACTGGATGCATTTATCCAAAGCCAGGACTAAGTCATAACTCAATTTTAAAAATTAAAAGTGGAAGTTTGAATTAAAAAACAAGATAAGTCTAACAAAGTTGAAAAAGAGATAAGATGAAGATATATGTTAATGAAATAGAAAACAGAGGTACAATAGGGATGAATGTGTTAATTGCAGATTTAAAAGATGGAAGAGGGCTCCACACCACCTATCAGATAAAGGCTGGTGGTAAACACTCTCAAACTGCAGCAGTAAAGTAAATAACCCAGTTTAAAAGTGGGCTACATAACTGAACCAAGCACACCAGAAGGACAGAAAATACTGTGAAGAGACGTTCAGTGCCATCTGTCATTCAGCAAATGCATAATAAAGCCACAGTGCAGTACCATTCCACACCCACTAGAACAGCTAAAAAATAATCAAACAGATGAGACAACTACACTGTGTGCTGACAAAGGTGCACCGTCGAGATCAGGAACATTGTGGCTCCCTGCAAGAATCTGGCCAATTCTCGGCCCATGGTCCCCTTACTGCACAGATGCAGATCCTGACCCCCTTTTTTTTTTTTTTTGGTACCAGGAATTGAACTTGGGTCCTTGTGCTTGCGAGGCAGACAGCAGAACCACTGAGCTAAATCCCCAGCCCTGACCACAGCTTTTAATAATCGTCAGAAGCTGGAACACACCTGGTGCTCTTCAACAGGTGAGGAGATGAAGCACTATGGCCCATCCCTGAGACGGAATATCACCCAGTAGTGACAGGATGGAGTGGCCAGTTTCTACCCACGGAAAGATTGCATATGCCACTTTCTTTGTGGAGAAGCCGGATTCAGCAGGGTGCTAACTGCACATTTCCATCCACATGCACTCGGAGCAGGCAAAGCTGGGGAGAAGGAAGAGGTCAGAACTCACCCCAAAGAGGACATGAGGGTGTTTTGGACGATGGGACTGCTGCGTCCTGGCTATGGTAGGAGGATACAGACTGTGCAGCTGTCAAACTGTATGTCCATGTTTTTGAAGATGTAAATGTAACAGACTAATTACCAGAAAAATGTAGTGGTCAGAAGAAATAAACAGTCCTAATAGACCTATAAGGATCAAACTGAATGAAGTAAAACATCATTCCTCCAGTCAGGAGCGGGGCTGGAAGGACCTGTTTTGCAGGTGAAGTCTTGGAGGAGGGCAGAGGTCAGTGATGCCCTAACTCTAGCCCAAGGACTGGGAGTTTACAGGAGAGTGGTGGCTCGGAGGAGCCCCCCATCCCCTGCCCAGGGGAGCAGGGCAGCAGGGCTGGCCAGAGTCCTGGAGAAGCATGACCTGCACTGCCAGGGGCCCAGAGTGAGCTGGTTTGTGCATGTCTGTGAGTGTGTGCATGTGTACAGCTGTGCCTGCTTGTGCCTGTGTGTGTGTGCAGAGGAGCAGGTGTGATCCTGTGTAGGAGAGGAAGTGGTGGGTGCTGCAGGCAGGCAGTGGGTGGAGTGTGTGATAGGGCCTGGGGCCGACCTTCTACCTGAAGGAAGCCTCCTGTGGGAGTCTTTGGGTGTGGGCCGGAAGTGGCCACCACCGCAGGTTTGTTGCTTTGGGTAGGAGGAGCGTCCCTTTTCAGTCCTGTTCTGGGTGGGGATCCGCTCTTGCCCTCCTATTCCCAGCCTCTCCAGGATGGGGTGTGGCCAGCACACAGCCTCGTGGTCTCTCCTGTACCTGCAGACCTGAAGGCTCCCTCCTTGGCCTGGGGTCCCCTAGAGCAGATGTGCCTCATGTCACACCCTGCTTGGGGTGGCTCAGCTGAGGGCTGTCTCCGGGTCTTCCCCAGCTGGTGACAAGTGAGGGGTCCCCTAGGACAGCAGCCTGGGGCCCCCATCTTGGCTGCTCCTCAAGCTCCAGGATCTGAGGTGGCTGCACCCCAACAGCTTGAGGGGGAAGTGGATTGACCAGGTGAGTGTGGGGGCTCCAGCGTCAGTGGGTGCTTTTCAATGTGGGCAGTGTCAACCCATGGGGCCTGGGGCCGTGTCAAGGGCTGGATGATGTAGTAGAGGAGCCTGGCAACACCGTTTAGATCCCCAGCCACATCACTTCTGCTTTTGACCACAGACATGGAGGGCAGGGCTGTGCACTCCGTCCTGGGCCTGCCCTGTGCTCTGCCCCTGTCACTACCCTGACCACATTGCCAGTTCAGGGCCAGCTGCTAGGATGCCCAGGGCTGGGCCTGATGAAGCCAGCAGGGGATCCTCACCTGGGCATGGTGCAGCAGCTGCCCAGATCAGGCTCCATTCTCTGGGGGTGGCGGGGCCATCCTGTGCACTCAAGACCCACTAGATGCCAGCTGCATCCTCCCTGCTGTGACTGGGACCACCTCCCCTGGGTGAGGTTCTCAAGGTACTGCCAGGTGAGGGTGGTCTCACAGGTCCTCAGGGCAGGATGGACCAGCTGGGGAAGAAGCTCAGACACCCAGCAGGAAAATAACCCATTTTTTTTCCCCGTGTCGTTGTTTCATGTGGAGGATGGTAACCTGGTAAGAAAATGATTTTCCCACTGAGGGTGGTCTCTCCTGCCATCCCTGCTTGGTGGGGACAGCACAGCAGCAGTCATCCTAAGGGAGGAGCGGACTCACACGGAAAGTTCTGCAGGGGTGCTGGGCTCCTCTCCTCTCCTCCCCTCCCCTCGCTCCCCTTCCTCTCTTTTTCTTTTATTTTGTTTTTGTGGTACTGAGGATTGATCCCAGGACCTTCACACTGAGCTGCATCCCTAGCCATTTTATTTTTTAATTTTTGTGACAGAATCTCCATAAATCACTGAGTTGCCCAGGCTGGGCTTGAACTTGTGATTCTCCTGCCTCAGCCTCCCCATGCCCTAATTTGGAAAAATCCAACGTCTAACTTCCAGCCTGCCCAGGCCTTTTATAGGCTTGTGAGGCAGCATACACAGAACCACTTGAAACTTTCTGGGGCTGAAACAAGGGCTGCAAGGCTCAAGCCTCACCTAGTCTCTGTTCTGTGCTGTGTGTCCGCAGGGTGGGACCCCTCTCAGTTGCACTTCTGCTTTCTCCTGTGGCCCAAGGCTGACTCATCAACACAGCCCCAGGGACAGACAGACCTGCTGTCCTTGTCCCTGTCCCCAAACCCTGAAGCCTGGGGTGGCTCTAGTTTCTGGGGTTCTCCCTATCTCAAGGGGCTGTTAGGATAGAAACAAATAGTTCCTGTGGGGTATGGCAGCACACACGTGTGATCCCAGCATTCTGGGAGGCTGAAGCAGGAGGATCACAAGTTTAAACCCAGCTCAGGCAATTTAGTGACTTAGGGAGAACTGGTCTTAAAAGAAAAAATAAAAAAGGGCTGGAAATGTAGCTCAGTGTCAAGGCCCTGGGTTTGATTTTCAGTACAGAGAGAGGAGAGAGAGAGAGAGAGAGAGAGAGAGAGAGAGAGAGAGGAGAGAGAGAGAGAATCCATTTCCTAAAAGCTGCTGAGAGTGAGTACAGAACCTGGGCCCCACTAGAGCTTCAGGGCTGTGGGCCTGGAGCAAGAGGCAGAGAAGAGAGTTCTGTGGTCCAAGAGATTTCAGGCTTCGGGGCTGGGGTACCAAGAGGGAGGGGCTCACTGTACAGAACTCGGGTCCCTGCCTGGCCCCAAACACAAAGGGGGCTTGGATGCTCGATGGACACGGCCAGCAGGGGTGGCCAGGGGGCAGCTCTGGGGATGGAGAGATGCACAGGACGGGGGAGGGCCAGGCTACACCTCTGGGGCCCCAGGGCTCCCACTAACAGATGGGCTGCAGAGTCCAGGCCCAGAAGGTAAGGCCAGGCTGGCTGAGTCTGGGTTCCAGGCATCTGTCCCAGTCTCAGGGACTCCTTGTAACTCTCGAATTTTCACAGTCCAGGACAGGTGAGCCCCCCCATGTGCCCTGGGCAGAGGACTTCTAGGACTGATATGTCTCGAAAGCCCCTTTCTTTCCTGCCTCTGTCCTCAATGTCTGTGGCTGGAACCTGGGGACATTGTGCCCTCTGACATATGACAGTCACCCCATGGAAATCCCCAAAATCTGGCCTTTCCCTTTGTGTCCCCCTGTGGCATCATGAAGAGTGGGAGAGGAGAACGGGGCCTCCCCAAGGGCGGGGAGGATCACCAGTGGGACCAGGTGTTGATTGTAGATGGGCTCATCTGACGAGGTGGCCAGGCAGTTGTCAGTCATCACAAGCGAGACCAGGGAGACAAACCACACTGTCATCACACGGGGCACATGGGCAGCTCACTGCATTTGGGACAACTGGACTGTCATCAAGAATAATGATGGCAGAGCACAATGAGTGTGCAAAATCACAGGAGCTAAGAGGTGGTGGCCACATGCGTGTCCACACAGGGTGATACATAGGCAAGTGGCTCCTCCACACAGTGGAGCACTATGTAACTCTGAAGAGGAAATCCTGCTGCCTGATGCCATGTGGCCAGGTCAGAGGACACCATGCTCAGTGAAGCAAGCGGACAGAAGGACAAATAGCGTGTGATGCTCCTGCAATGGCATCTAGAACAGCCTGGCCCATAGAACCGTAGAACAGGGTGGTTCGGCTCTGTGGAGGAGGGGTTAGTGGGTGAGGAGCTCCTGTTTCACGAGGGAACAAGGTCCTGAAGATGGTGGAATGATGGCCACACAGGTGTTAAACCCATGACCTGCTCTCTTAGAACTAGAGATTTTTATGACTGTTGATTTGGACACAATGAAATAAAAGCCTTTGAGTCCTTAGAAGAAGCAAGTGTGGTTCAGCGTAACTGGGAATTGCCCAACTCCTCAGGCACCCCTTGCCACCAAGCCAGGGCTGGTGGGCATAGAGGATGGGGTCCCTGAAGGGTGCCACTATGTGGCCCACAGAGGCAGTGGATGGTCCAGCATCCCCAGCAGGCTGCCCAGTCACAGGCCATGCTGGCTGTGCCACAGCCTGATATGTGTGCTGGTGAGGGGGGGTGGCATGTGGCAAGGGAATAGTTGTCAGGGGCTGGTGGTGGATGTGGTGCACCTAGGCCCTGAGGCCCTGAGGCCCTGACCTTGGCAGGTGTTTGCAGGTGGCTGAGGTCCATAAGTGGCTTTCTAGGCACTCTGCTGCCACCCACACAGACCCTAGAGATTGCTGCTCAGGGCGAGTCCAAGAGCAAGAAGGGCCTCCAGCCACATGGCTGGGACGCACCTGACTACAGCTGTGTGGATTAGGGCCCATTATGCCCCTGTGTGGTGCCAGGTACGAGGGGGCCCTGCAGATGTTGTGGGTCCAGACCCTGCCCCTGGGCCAACCCTGCTCCAGCTGCTGGAAGAGCAAGACTGGGCAGGACACCTCGGGTGCTAAGGGAAGTTCTGCACCCAGAAACCCAGAGCTGGCCCTCGGGCTCAGGTGGTCACATGAGGCTGCTGTCAGCTGGCATCTGCAGGGAAACTGGGCCATGTGTTTGGATCCAAGATGTTCTGTCCCAGGGCTCAGCAAGCCACAGGAAGTAACCCACAAGGGCTAGAAAGCACCTCAGGGACTTAGGGTGTGCTGAGCAACCTTACCCAGCCACCCCCCAGCCCTTTGTGTCCTGGTACAGACACACCATCCAGCCAGGACCTTGGGCCAGCCTGGGCTTGGTTCTGGAACAAAGGAGCTGGGGGAGGGACTAGGGCCCTGGAGGAAGGGGCAGCGGGAAGGCAGTGTTGTGCCCAGGCACCGGCTAGGTGGGTGTTCATGATTGGTGCCTGCCTGGGCCGACCCGATTTGGGGCCCACAGTGAGGAAGAACCAGATCCGTCTCCCTGGGACCCCTCCTGGGGTGTCCCTTGTCACCTTATCTGATGGGATCACACGGGACAGGCATGGTACCTGCCTGGTTGGGGTGTCCTCTAGCCTCTGTCACTTGGCTGTAACTGCTCCCTGGTGAGGGTGAGGCCTTGCTGGGGCAGTGCCACAGCAGGGACCACAGGTCTGGAGCCATCTGCCCCAGGAAAGTGAGGAGACTGTTGTCGTCATTGGAGGAATCACCCCGCCCAGGCCAACAACTCCCTCCCCCAGGCTTGCGGTTAGGGGAGTTTCAGGCACTGCATGAGGACCCTGTGACTTCCTGAAACCTGTCTGCAGGTCTGCAGGGAGGGTGTGTGGCTCTTTCGCCGGATAGCCCGGGTAAGGCTCCAGGCTGGGGTTGGGGGACTGGGCTCGGGGGCCTGAGTGCCAGCAATCTGTTGATGCAAAGGTACAAAGCCCGGCTAGCTGAGGCTTGAAACCTGGGCCCAGCCCAAGGGAGCACCAGGGGCATGGTGCCCAGGTCCAGGGGCATGGACAGTGACAGCCTTGGGGCCTTGCTTCTGGCCTCAGAAGTGTCCCAGGTGACATGGTCAGTGACCTGGGGCTCCTTCTTCTCTCCAGGGCTGCTCAGGCCAAGAGGCAAGAAAGGGACACTGGGGGGCTGGGCCCACTGGGTGAGATCCAAGGACTGGCAGCCTGCAGGCTTCCTAGGAGAGTGCAGAGTGCCGGGCACAGCAGGCCTCCATCGGTTCTGTTGGGCTGGTGGACCTGGGCTGCGCACACCAGGGCTGGGCTGAGCGATTGTTCCCAGTGTCTCTATCCAGGTCCAGCCAGATGTTCTAGGGGCCGGCCAGGCTGAGAGGAGGACAGAACCAAGAAAGCCTGGCAGGTGTGAGGGGCGGCTTCACTAGCAATTCAGTGAGACATGTGCCACAGAAACACACGGAAGCACGTCCTGCGGTGGGGCCAGTGTGTGGCCATTGCTCCTCGGGCCGAGGTTCTGCTCTCAGTGCATCTCCAACACAGAGACAGAGTTGGGTCAAGCTTCTTACAAGGCATAGGAGGGTGTGGTGATTACCCAGGATGCCTGGCAGGGGTAACGGGGCATGGGGCTGATGCAAGGCAGAGACATTGCCCAAGCCCAGCAGGGTGTGGATGGCAGCCAGGCACCATTGCCACCAGTGGCCCTGGGATCTGAGTGCCCTGGGATGTGAAGAACCCCTGGAGCCCATGAGGGGCCTGCCTGAGGGAACAAATAGGACTGGGCCCTGAAGTGGGGGTGCCTGAGGGGACAGATGGAATGGAGCTCCAGTGGGGAGTACATGGGGTGGGCAGGGATCTGGCCAGGCAGAGATGACAAACAGAGGGGACAAGGGCTGCTTGGGCTATGAGGAAGGTGTGGTTTGAGGACACTGGACAGGACTGGGAGACGGAGGAAGTGGAGTACGGACGGTGCCTGGGGCTGGTGGGGGCACATGGAAGGGGACCCAGGGTTACCACCTATCACCCGAGGGATATCCCAGGGCCATCATGCTGCCCTGGGGCTGCAGTTCCTGCAGAGCACAAATCCAGACCCTGGCAGGCATCACAGCATTGTGGGTGCAGAGGGCCTTGCGGGTGCTGTGGGCACCGTGGATGGTGGGTCTGCTCTAACGGGAGGAGATGGGGAGCCCTTGAGGCTGACCAGGCCAGAGTCTGTGATTCATCCCTTCATCCTCTGCTCTCAGCCCTCCATTGAGCCCTTCAGCTGACAGATGTCTCCTCACACCTGTTGGGGGACACTGCCCTGGAGGTCCTGGGGTAAACTCCCCATTCCTGCTGGTCCCGCCTCTCACTGGCAGAGCCCCTTGTGGTGAGGAAACCACTCAGGCACTGTGAGTACAGCCACAGCTCAGAACTGGCAGGGACCCCTAGGCCCAGGCATCCAGAGCTGAGGAGCTGCAGAACTGGCACAGGGGCTGACCCAGAGTTGTATGCCTCTCGGGGGGGGTGGGGGATGCCAGGCAGAGCAGGGTGGGTGTTGCTTAGCCTGGTCCCAGAACTGGGGAACTGATGTTCAGGTGGTGGACCCTGAGTGCCCCAAGTGGTCCTCAAGCTGGGATGGCCCAGGTCAAGGCACCAGAGCAGGTGGTCGAAGCCCTTCCTTTGGCCAGGCCCAGCATGCAAGCCTGCAAGGGCCTCATGTGACAGGGGCATTCTGCCTGCAGCAGTGCCACCTCATTGCAGGGGGAGGAACGGTCCAGACTTTCTTTTGGGCTTTCACTTCCTCTGGCTTTTGCCAGAGGGCCTATAGAGTGGCCCCATCTCTGTGTGACCCATGCAGGGGACAGGAACGTCTTCCTGGGCTGGTCTCTGTGGGTTCCATGCAGGGGCAGGGAAGTGGGTGGGTGTCTGGAAGCCCTCCTGGGCCTCTGGGTGCATTTTGACTCCCATCCATGGCCTCTGCTATGGAGCAAGATGTGTACAGCCTCAGGCTGCTGGCCCCAAGATCACTCCTGCTCTTTTGCCTGTCGGTATCCTTGCCTAGTGGCAAGGGAGGACCAACTGCAGTCCCCAAGAGGGCCAGCCCTCCTGGGAAGGAAGTGGGGTCCTAGGTGGCAGTGGTGTCTGGACCTTAGGGAGCCCTGGAATCTTTAGCCCACCAGCACTCTCCTAGCTGGAGACTCTGCCTACACCCTTGATATGGCCCCTGCTCCTCCACGCCAGCACCCCCTTTTCAGGAGTGGCCAGTAAGCCCTGCATCAGTCCTAGACCTTGGACCTGGGCTGCCCTCCAGAGTTCAGGGTGGGAGGGTCCTGAGGATTCCATAGGTCCCACCGAGCCACCTCCAGGGCAGCCTGAGGCTGGGGAGGCCGGATGGTATCCCTGAGATTGGATGAGATGAGGACCCACACATTTGCAGGCAAAGAGCCCAGAGGGACCTGGAGGCAGAGCAGCTTCTCCTGGCTTTCCTGCTGTGGCTCACTTTTGAATGTGCATCAAGGTGTTGCTTTAACCACTTGGCAGTTTAGCCCAGGCATCACTCAGGCAGCCCATTTGTTTCCATTCTGTCCTGAGTGGCCCTCATACAGCTGTCATTTCAACCAGTTGGTTGTTGCATTTAACACATTTGACAAAATTATCATTTTTATATTATCTAATAAAAATTAACAAAAAGTACGCAATTTTTGGGCATCCTGTATTTAAGCAACTGGACTGATAGATGGTTAAAGCTCTTCTGAAGTCAGTGAACTTTCTCTTATTTCATCTTGACTTCCTGTTATTTCCGGGGTCTAGAAATACTCTAGAAATGCTGGGCAGGGAAGCTAATCAGCCCCTCGCAGGTGATCCTGGGTCTGGGGTGGGTGCCCAGCTCTACTGTCTGTCACTGAAGGATCCCACCTGAACTAGGGCCACACCTGGGGATGCCAGGCAACCAGGGCTCCACCCTATGGAGCTGACAAGGTAATCCCCAGGCTCAGCCTCTGCCCTCTGTGTCCTCTGTCTGATGGACAGAGTGGAGCCCTGGTTGCCTGAGCTGCCCCAAGTTTTCAGGGCACTGAGTCCTCCAGGGCATCTGAGGGAGGGGGTGGAGCATCACCTGCCCCAGGCCTTCTGGCTGGGGAACACGGAGCCTGTTTTAAGAGCACCCTGTCAGGGAAGGAAGCAGAGCATCAGATCCACTGGCACTGCCACCCCCTGCCATGCCCTGTGTGCCACGGCCTCGTCCCCTTCACATGGGCACATGGTCCTCTCCCTGTGTCACTGCTGTGCAGGAAAAAGTCCCAGGAAGGCCTTTGGCACATTCAAGAGCTTTGGAAGCAGACTTCAAGCTTGTGCCCTGGGATGAGCACCCAACACTTTTACAGCTGCCCCGCCCTGCCAAGGAGTGACATCCTGGTTTTGCTAACTTGATGGGCAGAAAACTAGATTACTTTTCACATGTTTGTGCTTATGTTTCTTTGGCTGTAGTGGGGTTGAGTAGTTCTAGGACTTTTAGGAATATTTTTTTGTTTTCTTTGCAAACTCCTGGCTCCCTTCCCTTGCCCCCAGCTTTACTAAGGTACAAGTGATACAGAATTGCTGACGTTTATGATGTACCAAGTTATGCTTTGATGCCTTCCAGATCAGATAGTTTCTTCCCTTGGGTTCTTTTGTTGATGTGTAGGAGCTCTTTGTATATTAAGAATCTGCTATTGTACCCCCCAAATTAATTTTTTTTTTTGGTTTTGTTCTTGTTGTAATGTAAGCTGGCTTTGAACTCATTGTGTAGCCCAGGGTGGCCTTGAAATCATGGCAGTCCTCCTGCCTCAGCCTCCTGCAAGTGAGCGCCACCATGCCCAATGAAATGAATTCATTATTTAAAAATTTTTATTATTACATGTTTGTAGTACCAGAGATCACATTCACTGAGGTACATAGCACATCTTAATAATTCACTTTAATTCCTTTTTCATCTTCTTCCCTCTCCCTCCTTTCCATGCCCCTCCGTTCATTTTTGGTCTCCTGTTTTTCCAAGATCTAGCTCCCTGTTTTTTTTTTAAGCTCCCTGTTTCTTATTATCTGTCTTTCATTTTACTCTTTAATTTATTTATACTTTGGGTATCTCATATAAAAATATGTGATATTTTAAACTGTGTGTTTGATTTATTTCGCTTAGCATTATGGTCTCAAGGTATATCCATTTGCTACAAATAACTCCAATTTATCCTTCTTTATGATAGAATACTACTACTCCATGTGTTTAAATGCCACATTTTCTAAATCCATTCATTTGTTGATAAACAGATAGGCTACTTCCAAGATTTTTTTTTTTTTTTTTTTTTGAG